CTGTAAACAGTGAGGGGAAGATGAAGGAATGAAGAAAGATGAAGGTCCGCATCTTTATTTATGTCATCTGGCAGTAAATGCCTTGCAAAACATACCAAGTCAAACGAGGGAAAGAAGCTTGTGAGTCTTTCAGTTTCTGCAGCTTTTCTCTGATGCATTTCTCTGGTATTTCTATAGCAAGCTTGAATGAGTGTGGCCCTGGATGAGGATAAAGCAGCAAGACACTCATCTCCAGGGGGCGTGGCTGTCTTCATGCCTTTTGCCTGTGTTTTCACAGTTTCTTTGAACTGTGTAATGTACACTGGTAGTGATCCATGTAACGTGAGCTGCTAGCCTCAGATTGTTTCTCCACCACTGGACCTCTCCAGCTCTTCACACGAAGATCAAGAACTTTATCACTCACAGAGGCACTCCCATGTTTTTCAGTTCCCCTCTATGCATTTTTGCAGGTAAGGTAGATGTCACAGGAAAGAGTGCTGGAAAAGTCACTGCTGAAGCTGCCAGATTTGTCCTAGTAAAGAAAAGAGATGCTTTCACAGTCCTAGAGCACCATAGGACATCTCATCACACCTCCTAAGCCTGAGCCTGCTTCTTCCTCTGGGCAGGAAGCGCTAGTCTACAAATAGTAGCAATGTGGGATGAAGAGTTGGCTCTCCTGCCCTGACTGTGTGGCGGCTCTCAGCAGGGCTACTTCCATCCAAATGTGTTACTGCAATGAATAAACGAGAGATGGGTGTGGTTGCAGAGGCTGTTCGCACAATAAAAGGAAATGCCTCTGCTCCACATATGCTCAGGAGAAGGGAGGGTGTCTGTGTTGGGGAAAATGGGTTGTTGTGCGAGACAGGGCACGGAGGGGAGGTGTCTGCATGAAAACCAGAGGCGAAGGAAGTATTGGAGAGAGTGGGTGGGTGGATGGTGGCCAGAGAGTGGGAACAAGACAAAAGAGGCTGTATATGGCTGTGAAAGAGTCTGCATGAAAGGAACTCGGAGCAGAGAGTGCGTGTGAGAGGCTCCCAGAGAAGAGATGAGAAGCACAACGTCTGTGTGTGGCACAGAGATGGACACAGTGCTGCACGGTGCAGCCAAGCGGGACATTCCATTCCAGATGCTCCGACAGCCTTTTGCAATTGCATGGACTACACCATCTTCACACTCACTATTATCCAAAATCTTCCTCTGAAGTGGAAAAATTATTTTGTTATGGGCTGCAGGTGCCAAAGTTCAGTAAGATTTGTCTATCCCCACAAATACATGAACACTTTATCTTTTCAAAACTCCTTTGGGAGAACAGGGAGACTTTTGAATCACCGTAGGTTTCAGGATCGTTAGGGAAAAGCCCCTCTGGAAAGGTTTCTGATGATTTGTGATTCAATCTTTTTTTAACCACAGTCTTCTTACCAAGTTCTTCACATATATCAGTTCTACTATTTGGCACTTTGCATTTCAAGGCTCTGTTTCATCTGATGTCGAAGAAAATGGATTGTGTTGGAGACTGGCTTCATACTTGACTTGGACCGAGATGCAGCTGACCCCCGCACCCTGCAGTGCCAACATCTGATGTTTATGATTGGATCCACCTCTAGGCCAGGGTCCTGAACCACAATTGGCCAAGTAGACTGATAAATACAATTAACTTCTTTGAAGAAAAAAAAAAAAAAAAAAAAAGAAAAAGAAAAAAAAGAAGCCGAACAAAGTCAAGATTGCTGATAAATAATCTGCAGAAAGCAAAATATACGAATAGTGCCCCAGTGGAAGACTGTACTCAAAATTCCAGAGGATCATGGTAATCTGATATTAACACTGATTTACACTATACTTTCCTTCAGAAAAATCAGACCAGAGCAATACACAAGTTGTTCCAGCCTCTGTGTGTGATCTCCATGCCTCTCTGTTATGACTGGTTTCTCTGCTTTGTAGGGGGTTTCTCTTTGTTCCCTTGGTGGATTCTAATTCCTCTGGATCAGACTTAATGGGAGGAAAAATGTTAAAAAAACACAAGGGGAGTCTTCAAAGATCCTGAACATTCTGGCTAGCTGGTGATCTCATGGCAGGAATGACTTCAGAGGTGTGCTTGGCTTGGTTCACATTCACAGGACCTCCTCATGCCAAAGATATTTTGAGTGGGCCAAAACCATCTGTAAACACGCCCATTCAAAATGCTGCAGAGTTGCAAACACACATCGTGAGTCTCACACAAACTCACACACGCTCCTGACAGAAGATGTGTGTTCTGCCAGCACAGTCAGTCTATCGTTGCTATTTATCACACAGTACGCAGCTGAACTGTGAATATGTTCAGAGCACACAGGCTCACCAACTCATCACCCAACTCTGTCTGGTGCAGTTTATGGCACTGGATGCCAGATGGGGGACAAGCCCCTCTTTCTATTTCTCTTATTTGGGGTGAAAACTGGTTCTGGGGTAGACAATCTGAGCATTGTTGCACTTCTCAAAATTAATCCACTTTCAAAAGAATGAAGGTGTTCCTGATGGTCTATCAGGAGTGTATTAATCCTTCCATTCTTATTCCCACTTATTCCCCTCTTGCCACAGGTTAAATGGTCCAGGTTCAGCAGATTCCAAATGTGCTGCAAATGCCAAGGACGTTGCTAAGGATCTTTATAATGGTTTTCACCATTGGTGTTTTCAATCAGAATAATTCTGTGCTAGCCATGTTGAATTAATCTGAATTTTGCAACCTTTTTTATTACAAAAATATTACAAACTAGAGTCCCTAAGCAGTACACCAGTATACACATATTTAATCACCAAAGCTTCATTTATATACGTTATAAAGCTGATATAAATAGTTCCATCAGCTATACTGCAGTTGATCCTGGTTTGTACTAAGAAAAAATTCATAACCTGAATTCTTCTTTGTCTTATCCTGGATTTGTACAGGTTTAACTCCAGTTTAATTCCCAAAGTTACACCAAACCCACTTTTCTGTAGCCTAGAATTGAATCTGCCTCTGAAGAGCTTACAGAATATCAGCTCAGGCCCTGTGGCATTCACTAAGGCATGCAATGGAATATTAATGAATTGCAACAGAACGATGAATTTTGTCACTTACTAATCCCAGCATACCAAATAATCCAGGTTTGTGAATCAAAAGAAGTCAGACTAAACGTGAAGGCTTAAAGCAACGCTGAGATATCCCCTGGAGGCACATCTTTGCCCCAATCCCTTTCTCAGCTACTCATCTCAGTTATCATCTCTCTGACTTAACAGGAAGGAAGGAAGTCAATCAGAACCTCAGAAGGATCTCATTCTAGAAGGTGGCAAAGAGTAGAAGGAGAAGAGTAGTAATTCAAGGGTGGTTTTCGGGGGATTGTTTATTTTTGTTTTTGTTTCTTTCCTGAAGTGCTTTCCCCACAGTCATTAATATCTGATGGTGGTTGCTCAAAACTGCAGCAATGACTGCAAAGAAGGAACAGGTTGATCCCACAGGGAGCCCTCAGAGCTGTGCCTGCCTCACATTCTTTCTGTTCAACACACACAGCAAATCATTTTCACAAGCTGCTGTGCATTCCTCTCCAAAAACTCACAGGATGTGCTGGTCGCCTCTTCCTTTCCAAAAGCTAAATCACGTTTGCAGGGCCAAGGCTGGAAGTTGGCAAGAGGAACGGCCCTTTCTGCGTGGGCAGAGTGCTACCACAGCAAAAGCTCGTACTCTCAAAAGCACATATTTTCCCATAAATGGCCAATCACTAAGACACACGCTGTGAACTGATAAGGGCATGGGTAGGAACCCTTATGTCCATTTGACGAAGGAACAGTTCTATGGTATGTTTGGATTATAGGATAAAATTGCAGATGGCTTCACTGCCACTGAAATGCACACAGATAGAGCTTAGGGCACTGCAACCAGTACGTGGGGCTGGAGAATGTCTACCTGCTGTGTGTCCCCTGAAGGGCATGGAGGAACCACACCACAGCTACCACTGACACCAGCACTACGCTCCCTGTGGGACACTCCTGCTCAGGATCAACGTGCGCTGAGGCAGAGACAAACCCGTGTATCACTGCCTCCCTGACCACGGGCATCATCATGCTCCTGTCTCCATACAGGGAGCAAGGAGGAAGCAGAGCAGCATGGCCTCAGTGTCTACAGGCCTGCAGGGGTTCCAGGAGCAGTAGGCTGTAGCAGTCCATCGTTGTACAGACATCCTTATGGTATTTTCAGCTACAAATGAAACTACAGCAGAGAAAGCAACCGGGCAAACAGGATACCAGCAAGCCCTGCTGAAGGAAACACAATGTAAATCAGTACAGAGTGCATATAGGATGCATTCCTTCTATATCAGGGGCCAGCTCAACCTTTGACTTGAGAACAAGATCCAGCCTGAGTATCCATGTTAAATGATACTGTGTAGGAAGGATGTGATGAGCTGGCCTTCACGCTAACCCAATTTCGTGTACAAAGTTGCAGCCCATGACTTAATGCTTTGAGGGAAAGAAGAGCTCCCCTCCGTTTCATCTCACAGACAGTGCAGTTCTGGACAGGAAGAAGTTTCTTATCTGATCCCTGCATTTGTTCTGTAAACATGAAATCAGGGCTGCTGAATATCAGCTCATTACAAATACAGACAGCAGTGCTAGCACCATGGCAAATGCAACCATGAGTCAAGTAGTAGTTCTGCAACACCGTAGGAAAGAAAGCACAGTGAATTTATTTATTGATCACATGTATTGACAAACTATTTTAAAAGACTTCTCTGCATTGTCCAAAAACAACACAAAAGATTTTTTTTTTCCGATGTTTTTTAATCAGGTGAGAAATGTAATTTTGTCAGTGCTGGCCTGCCTCTGCTGGAGGTGCTCATGTCATACAGCAACTGATCACTTCAGCCCATGCAGTAGGGCCAGGAGATCTAATGTCAGCAGGGAGAAGTTTTCAGCTGCATCCAATAAACCACAGTATTCCAGGCTCCTCCCTACCTGAAAGAAAGATGAGGATTGAGCTACATTTTGTTCTGAAACAACTCCTTAACTAGCAAAGGAAACAACTGTTTTGAAGTGGAATCCTTTGGCTAGTCCTTTATTTTCTGATGTAGAGGGGGAAAGAAGTATAGAATTGGTTCAGTCTGAGATGTTTCCCATGTGATAATCCTCTTGCATTCTTCTAAAACACGGTGATCTGGAATAATGGCTTCCAGCAATGTATCTTGAATGTGCTTTTGTAAAAGAGTAGGGAGATGCTACATGGTATGGTGATGCTTTTCAGTTGCTTTGTTGGTTTTTTTGTGGGGCTTTTTTCATTTGCTTGTTGTTGATTGGTTGTGGTTTTATTCTGGTTTGTTTGGGTTTGGTTTTTTTTTTTTTGGGGGGGGGGGGGGGGGGGGGGGGGGGGGGGGGGGGGGGGGGGGGTGGGGGGGCAGGAGGGTTGCAGAGGAGAGGGATTGCTGAATAACTCTAAAAGCTTACTGAGAGCTACAGTTAGAACAAGTTGGTTTTGATATTTTTGCAGACGGGCTTCCCTGCTGAAAAAGGCTGTTTCAGCAAAGCACTGACATTGAACAACCCTTTGAAAGACACCAGGGACCTAAAGAACATCAATGCTGTCAGATTTCCAGACCTGAATTCCTCCCTATAATACCCAGGCTTGTAGCCAATTTGGCTGCCTCGGAGCAGTTGTATCTTTAAAAAATGCTTGATGTGTTTTCACGTTTCAAAAAGAAAAGAAGTAAAACACTGCAGCATGATTCAGGAACGCAGGCAGATGATGAAGCGGAGCAACAAAGTCACCAGTGAAGACAACTCAAGCAGAGACGACCTTCTTAAATTCCATATCGCTAACTGCTCCTCAGAGAGAGCTAGCATTTGTATCCAAGCATGATATTTTCTTTCTCCATATCTGATCCTATATGCAGCTGCTGGGATACCATAAAACAAACCAGCTGGGAGATCAGTAGGCTGTTTCCAAGCCCATTCTTTGGAAGATTAACTGCTCCTCAGAAAATGATCATTCATGGATGGCTTTTGGCAGGAGGCAAAGGGAGGGAAGAAGATCCTCCCTGGATCTGTTTGCTTGAAAGCTTAGGGTAAATGCTCTCTTTTGCGCATTGCTGATCTATAAGATACACATATCCTGAAACACTGTGCTTGTGCAGTGGGAGTAAAAAACTCAGTTGAATTCCATTAAGCTACCCTGGTGAGTGTAGTAAGCTTAGGGGCTCTTGAGCGTTTTTATTTAATATGAAGAGTGTTATTCAACTCAGAAATCATGGGCACTTCCAGCTACAAGGGAAACCTTTTATACTTACTCCATCAGGAAAACAATACTAGGACTTTAGAAATAAATCCTAAAGAACTGTGATGTTTTAGTTGTAACAAGATAATGGCAGAACTGTAACAGGACTGTGGATCCACTTAACCAGACACAGGAAAAAAAAAAATGAATGAAAGGCACTAATAAAGCACTAGTGTTATTTGCAACATTAAATTTGCCTGGCCCATTTGTACCTTCTGACATATAGGAATTGCCTCCAAAGGTATTTCCCATAAGAAATCTGTTGGAGAGCAATCTGATGGAGAGGAATTACATGTTTGGTTGGTTTTGTATTTTTTTTTCTGTTTTTTTTTTGTTTGTTTGTTTGTTTGTTTTGTTTTCTGTAATACTCCATGAGCATATGAAGGCTGCATTACTTTACTTTTTTTTTTTTTCCCCAAAAGTATTTTATGCTGAATAATGTTTGTAAAGGCTGCTTAGAGACTGAGCTTATATGCATTGAGAAAACATAAAGGTCTGACCACTGTGTACCAAATGGCACATAGAGCATTCCTCGTATTTATTTTTACCTTTTAAAAAAATCAGTCCATTTTCCAGAAAAGTTTGTGTGACTGAGATGCTGTGCACTTCTTTAACAGTTCAGTTGATTTAACACCTCACATACTTCCGTGAGTGGTCAAAACTTTAACAAGGAAAAGGTAAAACTCTTACTATAGAGTATGTATTCCTCCTGCAATGTGTTCCTTTCAGCACATCTTCAGAGAAGATTTTATAGCACAGATATTTCCCAAAGCAACAGAACTATGAAAGCATCCGCCCTCGGTATGTGTTTACCTTGGAATAGCCTCTTGAGGCTTCTTTCTCTACACAAATAGACTTCCCCACAGAGACATAATTTTCCTGCAGTGCAAATTAGAAAGCATTTTAAACAGAACTTCCTATTTAAAAAAGAAGAAAAAAAGGATGTGGGGAGGAGAAATTTGTCCCCCATTGCTTCTCATGTCTTCTCAATGATAAATAGCCCCAGATACTTCAGCCTGTGAGGCAGCCACCCAGGCAGATCCCACTTGAGGCAGCACCAGTAATGGAGGATGGGAAGGAGTCTGGGCTGCCCTCTGCGGGCGTTTACATACCTCCCCTCTCTGTTCATGACTGCAAAACATTCCCGTGGCAGAAAATTTAAAAATCTTGGGAAAACAAATTAATTAGTGCCTACTTAGGCTTTACTTAACTGTCAGTGAGACTGAAGTCTTTGCTTAACAGTCTTTTTCAAAAAATGACAGCCTGATACATTGCGGTAATACCAACAAATGTTATAGTAATAAAACCTATTAGCATAATTGTCTAGCCAATTTCCTTGAAGAAAGATCAAGGGAGAGGTCAAACAAATATAGGAAGGAAGGTAAGCAAGCATTTCTCATAATGAGTTACCAACTCTCCAGCTGTGGAAACAGATATAAGGAATGATACACGCAGACGTAGGCAAAGCAAGAAACTGATGGACAGCAGAAGATGGAAAATCAGGTGGGTAAGGCCATTTCTGACAGCTGGGCTAAGAGAGCTGGAGGTGGGAGTGAAGGAAGAAAGTGGTGACACCTTGTGAAGTTATTTTCATGCCTTTGTGCTCGGGTGCCCTGACTTCCAAGGTAAGCTGCTTTTTAGAACAAGAATGGAACTGTCTGTGGCCCCACCAGTTCTTGGCTCATCTGCTCAGTTTGCCCACAAAAACTGTCAGAGTGATTTTTTTGGGTAGCTCCTTCTCCGTATTTAGTCCCTGACTGCACTCCTGAGCAATGCCTGTTGCTGAAAGTAAGGCTCTGCACCACTGTTGGTAGTGAGACAATCTGTTGGGACCCCTTCTATACCAAGTTCACTTCACTTTGTAGTTTTCCAGCCTGCAACAATTTGTGCTTAAACCTTGCACAGAAATGCATGTTTCTGAAAGCAGATCCTTCCTGTCTTCCCCAACACAATTTTTTTCCATGTCCTTTATTATTATTATTATTATTATTATTATTATTATTATTATTATTATTATTATTATTATTATTATTTTCGGCAATGCTTTGGGCAAAGGAGGACGCTCGGTGAACATGAAGAGAGGTGGGTTCATCCTAACCAGGATGATGAACCTGAAGCATGCCCCTCCTCCAACCCTCCCATTCCCCCATGCGTACGTTTCCACCTCGCTGTACTACACGGAGTTTCCCGGGAGGGCGCCGGGCTGGAAGTGCCGGCAGACACTGCCGGGTGGGGCTGTGATTACTCCAGTACAGACCGGGCTGTTCCCCTGGGCGCCCACACCCGGGAAGGATGAGTAGGAGGAGATGGGGTATTCCTTCCAGTTTTCCATCCTGCCGGAGTGGGACGGGGGTTTGTTCTGCCCGCGTTCCTCCCCCCAACCCATCGGACGAGACCGGAGCGCAGTCAGCCGGAGCACCCCGCCCGTAGCAGCCGTCCCACGCCGGGTTGGGGGGTGCCGCCGCCTGGCCCCTCCTCTCGCCTCCTCTCCCCTCCCTGCCGGCCCGCCCCGCCAATGCCAGCGGAGCCCCCACCGGGCGGAGCTGCCCCGTTCGCAGCGCCGCGCGGCCCCGGTGCTCCGCGTCCGCTCGCCGCCGCCGTGCACCATGCGGGGCGCCGAGCCCCGGCCGCGGGTATGACTGAACCGCAGCGCTCCCAGCTGCGCCGCGGGCTCCGCGCGGAGCCAGGCAAGTACCGCAGCGCTGCCCTCCCCGCCAGGGTGCGCTTCGGGGCGCGGTGTCCCTGCCCGCTTTCCCGGGGCGGCTGCTCCGCGCGGAGCAGGGGTTTCGTTCCGGCTTCCGCGCAGACGTGGCTGCGTTTCAGGGGCAGATCTCCTCGTAATGCTGCCCGTGTGTCGGGAGGATCTTCTCAGTCCTCCCTCGGACGTGGCTGCGTTTCAGGGGCGGTGTCCCTCGAGCGGCGGGGAAGTTCAGAGCCGGACGAGGAGGTGCCGGGGGGGAACTGCCGCCGGCCCGGCTGCAGGAGGGACGGGGCAGATGGGAGACCTCACGGGGTAGGTATGCCTATGTGTCTGGAGCAGGGGATCCGCCTGGCTTTGGAGTGGTTCAGGAACGAAGTACTTAGGGTTTCTGCAGTACGGAGTTTTGAGAGCGTTTTTCTCGAGACACGTTTGCACAGTGGGCTTTTTCAGAACAGTGGCAGAATCACAGTGCTTTTGCCTCTACGTGCTCTTCTAGGAGATCCGTCAAGCGCAGTCACTGCCTACATGTCAGGACACCGTGATGGGCAAAACAGCCCTTTTGTTGCTGCTTCGTATTTTTAGACTCACCAACAGAAACTGTAGTGTTCTCTGGGGTGAAAAGCATGTGGCACTGGGAAAAAAGCAGAGCACACTGGTGGGGGAGATGCTGAGCAGCAGTTTGGTGACTTTTTTAGGGCAGTGGGGTAAGCAATAGAGTGTCATTTTAGCATGAAATAATGGGAAATAAAGGAAAATATTACTCAAAATCCCAGTTTGAAATTCTCAAAAACAAAACAAAACCATCCAAAACACAGTAGTTGAGTGGAACAATTTTTTTTTTTTTTTTTTTTTTTTTTTTTTTTTGAGGCAGTTTCCACTGGAATAAATATGAAGTTCAATTAAAAAAAAAAAAAAATGCAGCTAGCTGTAATATTAATAGTGCCTGCCAAGGGCTGGAGGGTGCTTACAACCACAGTCTTAGAAAGATCCTTACAATCTGGAGCAATGTGTTATTGCACCTCTTGCTGCCCATTCTAGAGATGCTTGCAGCTTTTACCTACAAGCTTCACCTAGAAAGCCCAGAGCTTTTAAGACACAGATGTGTGTTTTTCTCATGTTTTTCCTGTCTTCTACCTTAGAACGTCTCTTAGCATTCCTTTTCCTAAGAGGACCCTCAGCTGATGCGTTCTGTGTAACCTGAAGTGTTGCTGTGATGTGCCAGCATTACCTGCAGATTTGGAAAGTGAGGGCCACTCTTCGCTTCACATCTCATCAGGCTGTGAGCTCACCCAGCTGGAGCAGCAGGGCTGCAGGCTCCTGCTTCAGCATAGTGCAGAGCTCTTATGTGAGCTGTGCTCCCTGGGATGCACACAGTACTGCAGGCACTGCACCACAGCTGTCTCAGGGCTTTCTTCAAAGACTTGATCATCAGTTTATCCAGTATGGCTTTAAGCTAAAGTTAGCCACTGATATTTGATGGGCTTTATATTAATGGCAGTGTTCTCTGCCATGAGTTCATTGACCCTCCTACTTGCTGAGACCTGGCACAACTCATGACCTGCTGCAGGGAAGTTTCTGGCTGCGCTCTGTGGGCCTCTGAGCTGGTGTTCTCCAGGATACAGTTAAAGAGAGACATTCCCTTTGTGGAGCAAGGAAGAAAGCAGTTAGGAGGCTGCACAGATGTTTTAACCCCTCTCATCCCTGCGAGGTTTGTAATGAAACAATTTTCTCCAAAATCTCACTGCTCATACAGTTAGATTGATTGGAAGCCTATTTATTTAACACCATCTAGTGAGTTTTAAAATTTAATATAGGTTTCTTTCAAGAGGAAAGCAACTATTAAAGTTTATAGGATGAAAAAAAAGCTTAGATTTCTTTAGAGTCTACTGCTTTAAACACAGTAGCACACCTTCAGCGAGCTCACAGCCTCCTATCTGACAGCACTGTGCAGGTGACATCCTGTATCCGTGGCTGGAAGGTGACTGCAGAAGTCATCTCAAGGAGTTACAAACATATGGTCCACACCCCATCTGCATGGTCATTTTCTCAATAAAACGTGGAAATCCAGCCTCGCCAGCTCCCTACCCCACCACGTGCTTCAGCATCAATGCTCACTGACCTGACATCTCCTTAGGATATTCTTCGACTTGTCAAGGAAAGTGTCTTTGTAAAGATCACTTATACCTTGTACGGCATATAGAAAGTCTGCTTAATAGCACCTTCTCCCTTTCAGACGGAGAATGGCACTCAGCAGTCGCTGTGATTTTAAAACAAACAAAACCCCCACACCTCGATTCCTCTTCCTGGCGTTTTCTCCTGAGGGGTGTTAGAGCTGTGGGAGAAAGGACTGGAACAGGGAAGGGTGTGCATGGGCACAAGCAGTCAACCCCTCTTTCCTGTTCTCTGCAGTGCTGCCCCTTCTCACGTTCCCTTGAGAGCAGATG